CTGACTTTATGCCAACACCTGGCTGCACTGATCCCTACAGTTTTGCAGTGTATTTTACAGTCAGGTTGCATCACGCCATCTGCTTTGTTCTTTTTACTAAAGATTGCTTTGGGTATTCTGGTACTTTCAGGGTTCAAATAATTTTTAAAATTATTTGTAATAGTTATGTGAAGTCCAATGGATATTTTCATAGAGTTTGAATTGTATCTGTAGATCACTCAAAATATCGTGGACACCTTAACTAAATTCATTTTTCCAATCTATGTATATCGGAAGTCTTTCCACAAATTGTCTCTTCTTTAATTTATTTTTTAAAATCCATGTTTTAAAGTTTTCACCTCTTTGGTCAAATTTATTTTTAGACAATTTTTATAGCTATTGGAATGATATTGCTTTCTTGATTTCCATTTCATATAATTTGCTACTCAGTTTTGTGTGTTGATTTACATGCAGAAACTAAAATTGTTTATTAGCTCTAGTAGTTTTTGAGAGTCTTTTGGTTTTCCGATATGTAAAATCGTCTCATGTGCAAACACTGGCAGTTTGACTTCCTCTTGCCCAATTCAACTGCTCTGTATTTCTTTCTTTTGCTCAGGTTAGTCATAGCAGCAGCACCACTTCTTGCTACCAATTTCTGTTTTAGTCAGATTTTTATTGCTGAGACCAAATACCCAAAAAGAACAACCTAAAGGATGAAAAGTTCATTTTGGCTCATGGATCTCAGGTTTCATTCCACAGGAGACTGGTTCCATTGCTGTGGGCTCAGGGGGAAGCAAAACACATGAGGAAGCATAACACACGGGGAAGAGTGTAGTAGAGGGGAGCTGCTTCTCTCATTGTAGCAAGGAAGCAGAGGGACAGGGATAGAGGGAGAGGCCACAGGGAAGGTGAATCAAAAATGAATTCCTTAGTAGTAATAAGTTAGGTAATTCTGCATTCTGCTATTGGCTATTGAAGGATGTTTCAAAGAAATGCTCCCAATAAAAGAGGATGCAGTGGTGGCACTTATTCCAAAACTATAGCCTTCTTCTCTCCAGTCAATAAAGACCACTATTCCTCCATGACACGTGTTCACATGGAAATGTGTTAAGCTTGGAGGTAAGAACAGAACTCAGGAAATAAGCTAACTTGTAATTTCAGTGAATATTTTCAGGATGGATCCAGGAAACCTGGCATCTGCACACTGCACTATTCCTCACCCCTTAGCCACACTTTCTGATCCATATCTTATAGCTGGGGACAGTCCCTATATGACTTCCCAGGGCTGGAGTAGGTGCTCCTCAATGACATCTGGAATGTCAGCACAGAAGCAAACCTGTTTACATGCACAGTAATGTGCAGATGGTGAAGTCTGGTCAGGAAGACCAGAGTGCCAAGGCTCAGGACAGGAACAAAATGGTATTCCACCTTGGCTGATGCAGCCTGGCATCAGGAGAGAGCCCATGGCAATGGGAGGCACCACCGAAGAGCAGCACTGAGGAAGAGCCTGTGAGCCTCAGCAGGGCTCTTCTTAAACTGCCTCATCCCTTTTCTGGAGAGCCTTGAATTTTCTCCTTCACTCCTGGGGATGCCAGCAGCCAGGTTGGGAGAAGATGTTGTCATATATAAAGTTCCCATTACTTTTCCAGACACTCACATCAAAACTAAACAAAAATTGGCATTTGGATTTTACTATATATAAGAACATCTCACATGGAAACCGTGACAGTTTGACATGCTATTGCCCATTTTGACTGCCCTTTATTTCTTTCTCTGGAATTTTCACAATCATGAGGCACTGCTAAGACTACTTTATACAAAAACCAGGAGAACTTGGGCATGCAGAAATGAAATGTGTGCCTAATTTTATTTTGATCTTTTTATCAGTGGTAGAAGGTAGTCTTAGAAGTGGCTGAGTAGTAATAGACAGTACCATAAACCACCCAACTTCCATCTAACTAGTGAGTGGATTGTACAAATGATCCAGTTCTCTCTCTCTCTCTCTCTCTCTCTATCTCTCTCTCTCTCTCTCTCTTTCTTTTTTTCTCTTTTTTTGGTGTGGTGCTGGGGATTGAACCCAGGGTCTTGTGCATGCAAGGCAAGCACTCTACCAACTGAACTATATCCCCACCTCCAAGTGATTCAGTTCTATATTTAGTTTTGTTTCATACAGAAGTTACCTTAGAGCCAGTGCTACATGGGAAGCAGATGTGCATGTAGCTGTGGTGAGGAAACCTAGTGATGAGGGTTAACAGATGAGGAGGACCCTCTTACAGCCTCAAGGCATCTGCAGCACACTCTACCTGCCTTCTTTGACACAGAGGAGGGTGTCTACAAAGACCAAAGTGCACCTCACACAACATCTAGCTTATCCTAGAGGTAAACAGGCTCACCTATACATGTACGTATGCTATGTATGTGTGTGCATGCTCAAATTAATCCTCATGGACACATAAGTGAGAAAATGCATTAAATGAAATCAGAAGTTATTTAAAGGTATTTTGTATGTAGAAATTGTTCAGGACCATAACTTTAAACTTCATTGAGTGAAAAGTGAAGTTGAAAAAAGGAATTGCTAATAGAGACACCAAATATGTTATTTTTTAAGTCATCTGCAAAAATGGAAACTAGTTTTATGACCTGCTTATAGGTAATAGGGATAGTAGAAATGTAAATCTAAATGTTTAACAAAGCAGTCCTAATCCTGCTGATTGCTATCATCATAGATTTTAGTTACCTTTCAAACTATCTCTTAACATTGATTAGGAATAAATGTCAATTGCTATTGGTTTTTGTTTTATTTATTATTTTATTTTTGCATAATATTCTGCTAAAGTTAGTCTGCAACAACAAGAAGGGCCCTAATATGTGATCTTTTTCTTTCAAGTTTATCTGATAAATGTATATGTTATAATAGCATTATTTATCCTGACTCAATTCCAAAATGATTTCCTGTGATTCTTCATGTTATAATTATTAAATGCATTTTTTCCTTCTTTTTAAAAAGCATAATGGTAAAAATAGGAGGAACAAGTGGGTTGAAATTAATACAAAGACTGTCAAACTCTTAGGAAATTTATCCTAGAGGTACATAGGTGTAAACCAAGGGCATCACTGCACACATCCCCAGCTGAGATGCCCACAAAACCGTGACAACACATTGTAGAACCTGCCTGCCAGAGCTGATCCTGACATTCCACACACAAAGACTCTCTCATGTTGTATTGATCTCTTTCTGCTGCATTAAGCAGTCATCTACAACTGGGTTGCATAGGGGTCTGTGTTTTGGATTGAGGTCTCTGATACCTTCATGACTGTGGCATGCTGTGGCTAGGAACTTTCTGTGCTAGACTCCGAATGCCTGGTTGCTGGGAAAAATTCTGTTCAAAGACACAGAATGACTAGCTGCTGAAGCAATGTCCTGCATGAGGAGGCTCTTTGTTAGAGTCCTATCAGCCTTGACCTTGATCTCAGGTACACAGATCCTGGGAATAAAGGAACACCAAACAATAATGTAGTTATGGGAGTAATAACCTAAATAACCTATCAATATAAATAAATCTTGGCAGTTTGGCCTCTCTGCCATTCTGCCATCTTTCCTGCCTCTGCATCTTGTCTCTGTGTCTCTTTTTATTTTCCTTTTATGATTCTGGTAAAAGAATTTATTTAGCTTACAGTTCTAGAGATTCAAGAGCATGGTGCCAGCATCTGCTCAGCTCTGGTGAGGGCCTCACAGCCAGCTGAATTACACTGGTGGGAGCATGTGCAGAAGAGACCTCAGGGAAGGGCAGGGGTACCAGAGAGTGGAGACAGCTGCAGTCTATGGGACAACCCATTCTCCTGAAAGCATTACAGTATACTCCAGGAGATCATCACTTATCCTTTTAAGGGTGACCTCCCCAGGACCCAACCCCCATCTCCTTACCTCCATCTCTCAAAGGTTCAGACATCCCAACACATCATACCAGAGGCAAAGCTTTCAAATCATAAATCTTTATAAAAAATTATATCCAAAGCAGAGCATGAGTACATCAAGAAAGGTATGTTAAAATTAACTATTTGAAATTCCTGCAGTTTAATTCTATCACCGATAACAGGTAGAAATACAAATTTTAAAAGTTATGGGATTTTCTAAATCAAATATAAAAGAGTGCAAACTGAAGAGTTTCTGTTATGTACAATACAAAAGAGGTGACTGTGTCAAATGCTGGTCACTTTGGGCAATATTTAAGGGAAGGCAAGAAGAGTCATCTCAAAAATCAAGGGTAGGTTTTTTCACAAGCAGCTTCATGTGAGGTGTGTGGCTGGTTTGTATAATTTTGTTGAGCTATGCATGCCCAACTTCTTCATAAGAATGTTTTAAAGATATATATCAGTAACAAAAATACATGATTTTAGTGTCATATAATGCCAATGAAAACTGTAAATGTATTAAATAAGTCTGTGCTCTGATTTATAAAAAGCAAAACATAATATTATAAAACATCACAGTGAAAATAAAGATTATTTAAGGTAAACTTGTCATAAAGAAGATGTTATACAATTGCATCCCAGTATGTCCAATATTATGTGAAATGTAGAGGTCTAATTTCACTGACAAAAGATGAAGATTGTTTGACAAAGTTCACCTTGATATTTTCCCCAAGAAACATAGCTAAGACAAAAATAAAAATAGATAAATAAAAAATATAGCCCATTTGTCTTAACAAAATATCAACCAAGATATCAGGAGGAAAAAAAATCAAAGTTTTAAGTAGTATTACATTTAAACAGAAATTTACATTTGATACAAATAATTTTCCAGAAATATTACTTGATAGCTATAAACTTAATCCACACACACACACACACACACACACACACACAAATATACACGTGCACTCATACATAAACACAAGTGTGTATATATAAACCACATTCATAGGTGATATAACTGTGCATAAATTACTCTTTGAATTTTGTAGGTAAGAATGGATAAGAAAAAATAAGAATTGTTCAAAAACTAATAATTTACATGTTCCTCATGGTAACAGGGTTTTCCTATTCCTTATCCAAGTGAGCCAGAGCTTGGATGCATTGGAGTTGCTGCTCATAAGCAGAAAGGGGCTGACAGCTGGGAAACACCCAGTGATTACTGCAGTTGTGTTCAACAGGAACCAGGTGGGATTCGAAATCAGAGCCAGACAAATCTGACAGATGCAGGAAGTTGTGTAAAAAGAGACAAAGGTGCTCACCAGGAGAAGGATGGTTTTGGTGGCTCTGGACTCAGGGGAAGACCTGGAGGAGATGGTCTTATGAAGTTGCTGCATTCTCTGCTTGTGCCTGTGCAGGATGAGCACCATGGAGCTGCTGGCCCAGAGCATGAGCCCCACACACAGGGCATCAGGGAAGGTTAGCAATGCTGTAAACAGTAAGCCTGTGGTTTTGTCACGACGAACAACAGAACAGTATCCAAAATCTTTTAGACTGGTGATGTTTCTGTTACTCAATTTTCCTGTCATGACCAGAGGAAACATAACATTTAAAAAGATGTACAGAATCCAGCTCAGGTGTATGGAGAAACCAATGTAATTGGGAGATTTCACTTGAAGCTCTGAATACCAGGCGTCTCCAGGGCTGATCTTAATGGCCTGGAAGACACTCAGGAGGCAGGTGCTGCCAATGGACATACCTTTTCCCACTCTGTGAAGATAGAAAAGCAGCTTGCACCCCAAATCACCGAGGAAACCTTTCATTCCAAAAGATGCCATTGTGTGGGGAACTCCTTTACACAGGAGAGTTAACAAGTTGGCCACAATCAAGTGCTGAAGAATCAAGTCTGTGTGTCTTACCCTGCACCCAGTGAAGTTAATGACCAGGTAATGGAGGAGAAGAGAGGAATTGCCCAGAGCTCCAACCACAGTCTGTGCCAGGAAGATGATGCCTACAGCCACATCACTGCCTGCCATCCTGCCAGTTCCCAGGTGTGCCAGCCAGAGGGTCCCGCAGGGGAACAGGAGGCCTGGGCTGCACGTGTCCTGTCAACCAAAACCCAGCATTGCCCACTGTCCAGAGTTCCTGCTCATAACATTTACTTCACATTTTCCCCTTTTCATCATGTTTTAATGTGATTTGTGTGAACAGCGAAAAGTATGAAGTCTATAAATTCCTGCTGTGAAGGTGGCACATGGTGATTCTTGAATCTTCATGACATAAGGCAGTCACTACAGTGGCTTTTCATAATGACCAGCAGAACTTAAGTACACAGAGTTTAAGCATCTCTCTACATTCACACTCTGATTAGGAGACTAAAGGGCCTTGAAGCTGGCTGAGCAGAAACAGAGACAGAATAGTACACCACACATTCCTAAAGCTAATGAGCAGCATTCTTCAATCAGATTCATTATTTACTTTGCTTTTCTGAATTTCTATTATCTTTAAACTAGTTATATTTTTATAACTTTTTATTGTAAAATGTTTCCATTTGCTTGTAAGATTTATATTTATGCATTGATTGATGTTGATCCAATATAAATTATGAAGGAACATTTAGATATTTTAATAACTGCAAGTGTCCTGAGGCGACTGTAGCCCCACAGGCATCTGTCCCATGGTGAGTTACCTGTAGGACGCAGGACTGGTTGCATCTCAGGACAGCTACTCCATGACTCATGTGGTTGTGTATTAGGAACACAAATTCAATAGCCCCTATCACAGAAATTGTGTCACATTCCCAGGCTCTGTCATATGTCTTGGGATATTAAGCAGCAACATGGGATAAAAGATTATACAATAGAAACAAAATATTCACTAATTTAAACAGATACATATGTGATGTGTGTTAATTAATGACTAAGTTAGGTAAAACTCATTTAAGGAAGCAAGTTTGGAGAATGATATTATAATAGGAGTCATCCATTGATGTATCTGTGCCTTTAAACAGTAGAATTTCTGCACCCATTTGAATTCGTGAATTAAAATGACTTCATTGTTTACAGAAATTTTATGTTCAAAGAAATTTGAATGCACAGTGAAGAGCTTCCCTACATGGCCCCTGCACACCCAGCCAGCTGTACTGTCAAATTCCTAGACCAGAGGTTGAATTTACTACAATCAGGAGAATATATTTTAAAGGAGAAAAAAAAGATATATACTTGAAATGTGGTGTTGGAGACCTTTAAAAATTAAGTTCATTCGTACATACATGTTTCATTCCACTTTAAAGAAGAAATGACCTCACCATAATTGTAAAACACTGATGGTTTCAGGATGGGTACAAGCACTGTCTCTGTTAGCTGCACCATGCTCAGAGTCAGAGAAAATGTACTGTCAAGCATCACCATCAGATCACTTCCTACACAAGACTAGCAGATTTCTGTAAATTTATCCCATTCCATATAATAAACATGAGGGATTACAGGTTTATCTCTAGAAACCATGAAGATTAAGTGTAGAATTAAGGGAACTTGAGAAGCTGAGTGATTTTAAAACAACCTCCGTCTGCACCTTGAGAATCAGTTTTCATTTTCAGTTGAATTAAACTATAGCAATCACTGCCAGTGAGGATCACCTTAGTTAAATTAGGAGCTACAAGAGATTGGGGCTGTGACTGGAATCTTATTAATATTTCCTGTCTTGAGCCCAGTAATCAGCAACTGTTCTACTTCTTTTGTGGCTCTGGCTCCTATAGGGTTCTATCCAGAGTTCCCTGTTCTGATGGGATCACTTACCCAGATCCTGAGATGCATTTCCCTCACAGATGCTGCTCTCAGACTGAGGTTGCCTTACTCACGAGGCCCTTTCTTTTTACCAGGACAGTGACCTCAGTGCAGAGGCCTCAGTGGCCACAATGTATGCTGCAGGGAGGGGGCCAGCTCCTGAGATATGGGTCTGTGACTCTGTGACCTCACCTCCCCTCGGACCTGCAATTATCACTGTGCCTGTGGCAGCAATGGGTGGGCAGGTTGGGGAGCTGAGGACACAGCTGAAAACTTCCTCCCCAGGTGACATGTGGGAAGAACAATTATAAGTTTCTTCATGCCATGGCTAGAGAGAATACTGGGGTGTTTAGAGAGGCTCTTACTAATCCCTGATCCCTGGAGGCATATAGGGAATCAGTTGGAGGGGGCAGGAAATACTGAGGTCTGTCATATGAAGGACTGGAAGAGAGCTATGCATTTCTTGCTTCCCTGGGAAATTTCTACCATAAATCTAGTTGCTTCTTTATTTTACAAGATGAAACCATAATTTTAGCTATTATCAGATAAATGGAATGAGATAAAATATCTGGGAAGGTTTTAAAACAGATACAAGTGAACGAAAGAACACATGCTAATGATGCAACTTGGAAGTGAGTCATTGGACTCATCCGCAAAATGTTAATCAATTATTTTGGATTTTCTTGCATAATTCAATGCCAATTTATATCATAATTTTATGAATACATATAGTCTGGCAATATGGGAGCCCATTAAGGACAGGAGGAAGAAACAGAACAATACCCATAAAATTAACAATGTAATAATAGTCTCCCTCACCAGGGCCAGCAGCAGGATCAGATGGTTTGACCAACCTGAGCTAACATTTTTTTTTTGTTTTCATTTATATGAGAGCTACTAATATTAATTCATCAGCCTCAGGGAATGAGCACAGCATAGGAGTCTCCAACCCTGCAAAAACAATATTTACAATAGGTCATTTTAATAAATGCCATGAGGTTTACCATTCAGGCAAACTCCTGTGGCTGGAAAGCAGGTGTGATTTTGGCAGTTAGATAAAAGGTGTAAAAAGGAGATCATGGGAAATGGGCAATGGGGACAGGATGATGGTGCAGGGCCTATGAAGTGGAGGGGAGACAGTGAAAGAGAGAAGGAAGACATGAAAAGAGAAAAAGTTAATGTGCACTGCTGAGTGTGAGTGTACAAGGGACAAAGAGCTATGAGGTAACAAGACATAGGGTTCACCAGGTAAAAGAGACAAGGGGTGTACAGTTACATAAGAATGAAGGTATTCCTGGGGGTTGAGTTCCTTGAGAGTTTAGAATTGATGTGATGTCTCCTAAAGCCACTCACAAATCAGACTGTCAGAAATTGAGTATTCACGCAAGCAGGAAAGCAAGGATGCTATCAGACTGCATATTTCAAGGCTGGTAATCCCCCCTAACACCTGAGGACAAAGGTCAGACCTTATATTGCGTAAGGTTATTTCATCACTAAACAAGTCAATTGGACAAAATTTAATATTTTTTTTGAAGAAAACTCTGAAAGAATGGAAAATTGAGGTAATATATGTCAAAATGATAAGGACATATGCCACAAGTCTCCAGCCCACAAAATACACAATATTGAGAAGTCAAGAACTTTCTATGTTAAAGAACCAGCCAAGGACGTTCATCTTCACCACTTCTGTATAATATCATACTAGGAGTCCTATAAAGAGAAGTTTGGCGAGGAAAGAAATAAAATGAATACGAAATGGAAAGGAAGAATTAAAATTTTCTGTTTTAAGATGATGTTATATATCTACATGCATTTATATATATATATTCCCAAGACTCCATCCAAAAGCTTTGAGAACTAACAAACATTACAGTGAACTCTAACTGCAGTATATGAATTCATCATAAAGATCAGTGTTTCTCTAGCCCAAAAAGGAATATAAAAAGGAAATCAATTAATAAATCACATTTACAGTAGCCTCAAGTACAATAAAATACTTAGAGATAAATTTAATCAAGAAGGTGAATGATCTGCTTACTTCAAATTATAAGACATTAACAAAAGAAACTGAAAGAGAAACAAATACATGGAAAGGCTTTCAATTTACATGGATGAGAAGAAACAATATTATTACATGTCCATAACCTAAGTGATTACAGATTCAATGACATCCCTCTCAAATATTTCTGGACACCTTACAAATATAGTTTCTTCCAATCCATGAACATGGGATGTATTTCAAATTTTTGTGTGTCTTCTTTAGTTTCTCTAATCAATATTTTATAGTTTTCATTGTAGAAACCTTTCACTCCTTTGGATGAATTTATTTGTAGAAAATTTTTATAGCTATTTGAAGTGGGATTGTTTCTTGATTTCCTTTTTGCATAATTAACCAATGATATATAGCAATGCTACTGACTTTTGCATGCTGATTTATATCCAACAATTTTGCTAAAATTGTTTAATAATTGCAATTGTTTTTTTTCCCAATGTCTCTGAGTTTTACTCTACATAAGTTCATATTGTTATGGTGGTTCACCTCATGCTTTATATATATATATATATATATATATATATTTATATATATATATATATTTTGTGTTGGCGCCACCGACTCTTGTTTATATAGGGGCATTTTTTTTCTCGCTATTCCCTCTCTCCCTCCCTAACAGGATTATGGAGACAAGATTATTTTTTATTATCCTTTTTAGGCCTATTTATCTGTCCTTGAGGACATACCCACCACAGAAATAGATGTAGGAGGATCTAGGAATTGACTATCTCCCAAATTAAGAAGGTAATTTCAACACACTACCAGGATTCACCTGGGACCCTTACCAGGACACTCTTGGATTAAAGCTTTTGAATGTTCTTTTAAAAACCCTACATTTCCCCTGTGCTTCTCCTTTACTGGCAAAGCAATACAACTTTCTTTTTTCCCTAAAAATTGTTGAATTGAATGGCACTGGAGACAAGGACTGTGCTTTATGTAACAATATAATATGCTGACAATGACATTTTGAGTTCCTTTTTCCTATTTGGATGTCCTTTATTTCCTTCTCTTACCTAATTGCTCAGGCTAGGATTTCAAGTACTATATTGAATAAAATTAATAAACGTGGTAATCTATGTCTTCTGTCAGAAGAAGTAAATTGCTGCAATCTACATTAATTTTTCTTCTACTAAATCTGTAGAATAGAGTCAGGCTGGACAAAATGTGAATTTGGCCTTGTGATATCCTAATCAGAGTA